AGCCAGTAGCTCACGCGTCCGTTGGCGCCCGCGTCCGCGTCCCAAGCGCGCACACGCAGCACTTCCGCGCCCGCCGCGTTGTTCTCCGCCACGTAGGCACTGTACGCGGCCTCCTCGAACACCGGCGCATTGTCGTTCACGTCCGATACCTCCAGCACCAGCGCCGCGCTGCTCCACAGCGCCGGCCTGCCCCTGTCCTTGGCCGTGATGGTGATATTATAGGTGGAGACCTGTTCTCTGTCCAGGGCACTGCCTGTGATCAGTTTATAGGTGTTCTCTGATGACCGTTCTAGTCTGAAAGGCAAATCCTCGTCGACGTTGCAGCTCACTGCTCCGTTATCCCCGGAGTCTCTGTCACGGACATTGAGCACAGCTACAACTGTGCTCGGGACCGAGTCTTCAGGTATCGGGTTCAAAATAGGCAGGAGGGAAAGGGGTGGGGCATTGTCGTTCACGTCTACAATGTCGATGTGCACTTTGGCGTGTGCTCTCAGCCCACCCCCGTCCTTGCCTTCGACAGTCGCTTCGTAATATTTCCCTTCTTCATAATCCAAGAGGCCTGTGACCTTCACGTCCCCTGTCCTGGAGTCCAGAGCGAAGAGCTGGCGAGCACTGTTTGCAATTTCGCTGAAAGAGTAGGAGATTTCTGCGTTCGTACCTTCGTCGCCATCAGTAGCTTTCACCTGGAAGGCTAAGGAACCCTCTGGCAGGTTTTCCATCAGTCGGACCTTGTAGATCTCTTTGGTGAAAACCGGCGGGTTGTCATTTGCATCGGTCACGTTAATCTTAACCTGGGTGGTCCCGGATCGGACTGGATTCCCGCCATCCACTGCCGTCAGTATCAAATGGTGGTTTATCTGTTTTTCTCGATCTAAGCTTTTCTCCAGCACTAATTCTGGCTGTTTCGTTCCATCAGGTCTCTCCTTCACTTCAAGGGAGAAAAGCGGGTTGGTAGTAAGTTGGTAACTTTTTAATGAGTTGACCCCAATGTCGGGGTCTCTGCCGACGCCCAGTGGGAACCTGGCCCCAGGAGGAGTGGTCTCGATCATTTCTATGGCAACAACTTCTCTGTCAAACTGCGGCGCGTTGTCATTGATATCCTCGACAGTAACGCTGACATGAAATATATTGAAAGGGTTTTCCACCACTGCCTCCACACTGAGGACACAGGGCGACACGGCCCCGCAGATGTCTTCTCGGTCTATCCTCTCCTTTACCCGCAGATTTGTATTCCCTTCCTCGAGACTGAAGTATTGCTCGTCGTTACCGGAGACTATCCGCAGCTTGCGTGCCGGCAGCTCCGCCGGGCTCAGCCCCAGGTCCCGCGCCAGCGGCCCCACCAGCGAGCCTCTGCCCATCTCCTCGGGGATGGTGTAACGGAGTCGCTCCGTTGCCGCCCGACAGCACACCGGCAGGAGAACGGCCAACAGCACGAACCGCCCAGCAGCTGTTCGGCCCTGAGCTGCCGCTCGGATCTCCATTCTCTGCTTTGCTGAAGCGTATTTTGGGAACGATTTTAAATTCGGCTTTGAGAGCAGCTGAATCAGGACCTGGAAGAAATAAAGAGAGGAAATCCCTGTTGCCGGTGGGAGGACGGACTGAGTCCGGCAGTGTCTGCTCTTCCCTCTGCTCGGCTCCGTGTGGACTGGCCCTGCACGGGCGCAGGGATCGGGGAGGAGCCGATAGCGGAGCCGTTTCTCCGCCCTGGCCAACAGTGACACCCGCAGTCCGCGCCTGAGAACCGCAGCGTCCGAGAGAAAAAAACAGCCCGCAGGTCCTGCCTGCTATGCGCGTCTGCAGACTGCACTCACATGCGGGTTGGAAAATACAGATGCTGTCAGTAGCGCGAAACGGAAAACTGGTGTTTGTGCTGAAACGGTGCATCTAGGATTTCCCATTGAATTTCCTACACTTGCAAGTCTTCTGCAAGACAAATCTTCCCGCATTGCTCGGAGTATGTGGGGCAGGATCTCTGTCTCTTCCCCACAGTGATCTTGCTGGACTCTAATGTGAGGGTGCGGGCGTGTTTCCCCCCGCGAGAGAAACGGAAGGACGGGACGGACGCTGAAGCACTGCTTGTGGATAATGGCTTTATTTGCGATGGTTAGGAGATCCTGAGCTGGCACTCAGCTTTCCCTTTTTGAAAGGCGATCGCTGATGGATGAGCAAAGCCGGGAATCTCAACCAGTGAGAAAAGCATAGCGGTCACACCAGACCTACCGGATCCCATCTCTTTCGACATTAAAAATCCGGCGTCGCCCTATCAGTGCTATACAAACCATACCGGATTTTTTTTTTTTTTTTTTTTTTTTTTTTTTTTTGTCTGTGTCTCTGACAAACCACGTCCTCGTCTCCTAACCCGGCCATTACTGCAGCGGGTCTCATACCTTAAGAATATTTTCTGGCAAATGTCGACTGCGGTTACTGTTGCTTGAACAAGCCAAGAGAAAACAGACATATCCCACCCTCAGGAAAAGCCGTTGTGTCTTACCTGTACATTAAAATCTCATTTCTCTTACGGCGAAACAAACAAACAAACAAAAAAAAACCAACAAAAAAAGACCTGAAGAAAGGCTGTATCACCACAGCCCCTTATGCATGAGACAAAAAACGGTTAGAAAACCCTCCGCACTACCTACCCGCCGGAGTAGCTCTTGCATATACATCACCGCTGAGTATCTGTAGGTGGCGATGTCACAATCTTCCTGCTTTTCTCACTAAGGTGTCGTTAGAAAATATGTTTTCCTGCTACCTCTGGCCACTCATCCAGTGGATGAAAATTTCTTTTCCTCCAGCTGCACCTATATACAACTCATGGTACCAAATATAACCAATTGGAACAAGAAGTTGTTTTGAATTTCTAGTGTTTCAGGAGCCATGAGGCAGCAACCATGTAAGCATCTCTAATATGAGTTTGAGAGAAGGATGTGGCTACTTATACAGGGACGGGGGACTCTTCTGAAACAAGCCAGGGGCAATTCACTGCCTCCTATATAGTGAGAATTGCGTATCACAACCCAGACACACATTTTCATGCATCACACAACCACACTATTGTTTCCAAGTGGAGATTGATGTCTCCTAGTCCCAGGATAGTCTTCCCCCTTGTATCCGAACCTGCGGGCCACAGCATGGTGAAGTCCCAGGAGGACGCAGCTAAGAACCAGTCTGCATCCAAGAGGGAAGGATTTTCTTTCCACATGCATATCATATGTGAGTTTGTGTCTGATGGATGGCAGCAGAAAGGAGTAAGGACCACAAGGTTAATTAATGTGATGCATAAGGTTATGCCTCAGTTTACATTCCCACCACACACAAAAGCAGCTGTACAAAGCCACAATATTTTGGCAAGGTCAAAGATCAGCAAAAATAATCCGTGCTAACCTTCACTGGGAACCTTAAAATATGATTTTCTCTCAACTTGAGAGCAGTTATTTTTATGTGCCACTAGTTTATTTTGTTTAAAATGCAAAGACACAATGTATCACCAGCTTAAATAGCAGAATAGCAAATAATACAGCAATGAAATATTATTGATTAATCATATTCCTGAAGTCTTAAAGCCAGCCCATGATGGAAGATCAGTAATGGAGGAAATAAGGCAGGCACCTTCTAAGACAGCCTGTTTCATAGACGTATTTTGAGAATAGAATGGCATGTTTGGCAGGAAAAAATGTTTTGATATTATAAGGAAAAGAAGGAGTAAAATATTTTATATTCTGTGATTAACTCGCATTCCCAAATTAGACACAAGATAAACAGACTGTGATGAATCATACCTTGTTTTAAAACTATTTGCCATTTGTATTCTAGTAAGTAGCCTTTATTTCGACGACTATGACTGTGCACTAATTGACAATTGTACAAATCTAAAGGTTAAGTCACGAAGCCCAGCAGTGGGAAAAAAACTCGATGGGATATCAGAGGAATTTTTCCACCATGTAACAGGAGCCTATTTCTAGAACTTTGAGTCTCCTTAAGTGGAATTGATTAATTCGTTTGTGAAAGGTAGATTGCCAAGTAACAAGGGACTTCAGAGATGTTGGCTTTCGGGCTACAAGGTTAATCAATTCTACAGCGGGTGGCAATGAAATTCTGGGAACTGGGTACTAGGAAGTACTCAAAAAATTTCAAGGAAGTGCCAGAGGAAGACCTAGAGATTGAAATTTCCTTATGTAGCTGCACTTGCTGAGGAACTTTCCAGACTTTGAGAAGGCCAGATAAAATGAGCTCAGCTCAGCTGGCAGAGAACGTGACACATAAAACACACACGGCAGACTCAGCACAATTTCAGGAGGTGACATAAACGAGTTGACGACCACTGTAAAACGTGATTTCCAACACAATGAACCATGCACTTTAAAATGTCTGTGGTTCCCCTAAGAATATTAAGCACTGCGTACACGAAAGAAAGTTAAAAAAAAATTTAACGTACCTGAAAGGAAACTTGGTCAACATTCTCGGCACCCTGATCTCCCAAATGGACGAGAGCACCTGAAGCTTCAGCGGTGGGGAGGGGCGGGAGGGTGTCGC